TGTAGGCTGAGACTGTACACCTCTTACATAGAGCCCTATGAGGCATTTACTGATTTGTTGAATAAATTGGCTTCAAGTTTCCTATTTTAAATATTATCTCGGGACCAGGATTACGATAATGTAAAAATATAAATAGCTTCTTCGTGAAAGCCTTTGGTAAAGTAAGTTTACAATGCGAAGAATTGAAATTGATTGGATCCATAAAAAATATTTATTGTGCAGTACTGAGAATAATCTCTTTTCTGCGATGCTGTTATTATGATGTAGTTCTGTTCATCGAAAGGAAAATTGCTAAATAAAAATGCTTCACCCTATCTATATATCTCTTTAATAAAGTATTACCAAAGTAAACAGTGATAATTTATTAGATTAGTTTAAATCTTGGAAATCCACGCTGATATTGAAAAATGTTCCTCAATGTTTTAATTAATGTATTGGCAACCCAAATGCAACAATCTCAGCCAATTGATGTTAAATAATTCTTAATTGATATTTTAAATTATGTAAAATAATTCTTAGTTTGTAATTAAAGACCGTTGTTGGATCTGCATCAATTATCAATAAACTATTGCAAATTATTAATAAGTATCTGTTTAACTGTGGTGGGGCCGCGAAACAGTGTTAGCTGTTGCACGAATGGGCAGGTCCGTTCGGGTTAGTACCACGACCTCACAGAAGACCGGCGTGAAGTAGAAGTGTTGCACTTCTGCGTTTAATGATGAGTGAGGTAGCCGCCGCCCACTTTATTAAAAGGTCAACGCATCTGCAACCCTGCGGGTGTTGCAATGTCCACGGGCGGCAGTTATCACTTAAGTTAAGGTGGGCCGCCAGCTCGTTTGCCACTTTCTCACATAAAGAAATGTCAGCACGAACTATTCCCGTTTGAAGGGATTTTAGTGTACTCGTACATTAATTTATTAACCGATCGTTACAGAATCGATTTTGAATATTAATAACGTAAGAACTAAACTTTTCACTAGTATCATTATGTTTATATGTAAACATTAATTTATATACAATGCTATATGTATTACATTTTTTATATACAATGCTGTATGTTGCATTGTATGTAAAAAATGTGCATACAGTCACAGTTGTCACAGTTTTATTTAGCCATGATGCGCGGGCCCCACAATTGCAGTACCCCATTAGTATACGTTGTAGGGTTGTGTGAATAGATCAAGGTCCATTTCAATTGAAAGTACGAGATTGATTCCAATTTCCTTGAGACTTAAATGTCGTTAACAATTAATCATGGGTTGTATCTCACAGCTAGGTGCCACGTTGCGGCGTGCAGTTAAAAAGTGTAAAAAGTTGGAAAGTAAAGATGCAGCTACAGATGGGAATGTCATATATCTAATGCAACGCTATTTTGCATTTGAGCTAAAAGAGGCTAGAAAATCAAAGAAAAAGTAAAACTCACAACAAAAACAACAGTTTTTATAATTGTCTTTCTGTTGGGCAAAGGTCGTCTGTACAAGGTTATAAGACAGGGAATGGTCCATTACGTGACCTCATTGTGGATTGGCTAAACTTCACAAGTCTTTGAAATAATTTTTTTTGAAATATATCATTTAGTAAACTTTAACTGTGGTAGAGCCACGCAGCAGTCTCGGCTGTTGCACGAATGGGCGGGTTCGTCCGGGTAAGTACCACGGTCTCACAGAAGACCGGCGTAAAGTGGAAGTATAACAAATACTTTCGCGCTTCGTCTGGTGAGTGAGGTGGCCGGAGCCCAATTTTCAAAAGGTTGTCAACGCATCTGTAATCCTCTGGTGTAGTGAATGACCGTGGGCGGCGGTATTCACTTAACATCAGGTGAACCGCCTGCTCGCTTACCAACTTTCACATAAAAAAGGATATATTGTATATTGAATTAAAATCGAGCGCCTGCATAGTGAGCTAGCGTATCTAGAATGTAAAAAAAACAATACTATTACAAGTAGTGCCTCTGTGTTGACGTTGCCTTTTGTACCTCTTTTGTGCATCTTAATATGCATAAATAAATAAATGTCGCGATGTGGAGTACTTGTCGTTATTGTTTAACAACGAAGATAAGTGGGAAGATGGTGGCAGGGCAGCCCTGAATGCCTCCCCAATAAAAATCAATAAGCGGCCCCTGATGAGAGTAAAAGGGAATGTACGTATGTTGACGACTTGATTGGCGCGGGGAGTAGTGAACATGTCTCTTACTCCAGAGGGTGTGGGTTCGATCCCCACTACGGGAAAAATATTGTGTGATGAGCTTAGTGTTTTTCTAGTGTCTGGGTGTTTATGTATGTATAGTATGTATTTGCTTACAAAAGAAAATTATGTTGTGAGTTATCTAGTACCCATAGTACAAGCGTTGCTTAGTTTGGGACTAGAGAACGTTGTGTAAAAATGTGTTCGAAAATATTTATTTTATTTAATTATTGTATGGGTTCGATAAGACGTGTACCAACGTTTCGGATCTTATGGATTTCTTACACCCACGCGAATACTTCACTTTTAATTTCGCATTTTATGGTATTTTATTTTGTTTTTAAATTTCCAACGTTTCATTTTGATTGATTATAAAGTCACTGTAACGTTTGCATCCCGTATAGTGTGGTATGTTCTAATTGTGACTTAATTGGCCATAATCTTGTTACATTTTATCATATAAAAAAGTATTCTAGCTGTAAGTTTTCCGAATATATATATATATATATATTTTTTATGAAAAAATAATTCAATTTAAGAATACCGCCGCCCATAGACATCTGCTACACCCGAGGGTTACAGATGCGTTGCACCTTTTCGAAACGAAAGTATTTTTACTTCCACTTAGTTGCTTATTTTACCCGGACGGGCCTTTCGTGCAACAGCCGATATGCTTGGCCCTACCCCGTTAAAAAAAATAAAAATATGTTAGCTAAGTGACATGCGCATCACTTTTCACATTTAGTTGCTTATTTTACTTACTATAGATTTACTTAGCTAACTGGGAAGTATTTGGCACCAGCCATACCCTGTGCCCATAGTCTTAAAATATACGAGTATTTCTAAACCAGAGAGTTCATGTCTTGTAATTTTAGCCGTGTTTCCCAAACGGTTCATATCAATACATGTGCGTGTCATTTTATGCGGAAGTAGAGTCGTGGTTTCATTTTCCGTAATGTAAAAAAATGTTTCCTGCTTCCATTTAAATATTAAAATTTTTGTACATTCGATTTCGGACGATCTTTTATAGGCAACATTAGCGAATGCTTGTACCGTTAGGATATCGAACCTATGACTCACTAACTTACTCTAAGCAAGTGCAACTCAAGATAAGAAGACCAAGATGATGATGCGAAAAGTTGTCAAGCGAACAGGCGGTGATGATAAATAATTCCATTGGCCATGGCAATCTAAAACACTTGGGGTAGGGCTCGCAAAAGCTTCTACTGCTGAATGGGCAGGTTGGTCGTGAAAGGATCTCGTCCTTACAGAAGACCAGCGTGAAGGGGAATTATTATTTTTATGCTTTCGTGTTTAACTGTTGTTTGAGCCGACCAGGGCCCCTTTGTTTTAAAGTTGTCAACGCATGAAGTCAACTGGTGAAGATGATTACAACGAGATTACGAGAGTACTTTAAAATTTCTTAGTGCTACTAAGCAATTAAGATGAAACATAAAAATGGACAAAAAGTTTTTAGTCGCTACGGGCATCGAGCCCACGTCTTCCGCGTTCGCTGCCAGACGCTTTAACCACAAAATTAAACGGCTGATTACCACACTGATGTAAATATCAACGTATATTTTCTAATTAACTCCAAAAATGTCATGGATACATTGGCATCAGTGTTCGAACTCGGGCCTTTTGAACACGAATCGGACCACTTCTACTACTAACCGTCAACCTAATGTCAGCATGCTTAATTATAGCGACTTTAGTATCGGCTTACTGCGGCCTCAAGTTAATGCCGCTCGCGGCAATATACACCTTATTACGTAGCAACAGAGTGTGAATTCGCCAACCGGATAGCACTCCACAATGCTTTACAATCGCTTCGTCTTTCATGTGGCACTCTGGGAGCCACGCTTCGTTAGTTACGAATTAAAATAGAGACATGTGAGGCGCATTTACTCCGATGTTACGCGGAATTGTTGCGATATTGCGCTATGCACTTTAAATAACCGATAGAGATCGCGCGGCGATCGCTAGGGTGCACCCTTCTGGCATCGTAACCGGACAGTCCTGATATTAGAAAGAAGTTTTTGTCATGGAGTTTATATTTAAGTTTTAAAGAAGGGAGCCTTCTATATATACTTGTATGCCACACAGTACTAAACAAAACAATTTATTGTTTCCTCTTTGATAGTAGTTAGTAGCATGATATTATTTACATTTGTATGAACATTTATAAACGACTACGAGTAGTTTAGTAGTAAAAAGTTTAATCCCTGCTCTGCAATGAATTTAAAAGACAATATTTTTCTCTATAACTGTAGGTATACATGAATTATGAAAATAAAATTAATATTTAAACTCCATTCATCAAAATATATATTTGTATTATGAAATTAATTTTCGCACTCCAAAATTATATACAGCCAAGTGAGTAGGTAGTCATAGCTGAGTCAAAAGATCAAATGGTAAATAATGCTTCAGTGGACTTTATTAATATATAAATTTTCTAATAAACTTAGTCCACGCCCAAAATATAATTAATAATATATAAATTAAACGATTTGATTCTATACAATTATGATGGAGCAACCCGAGCCACATTTAAACAGCTGTAGATATTTCTCATCCGCAATTTCCAACAAACGCAACGCCGTCACCCGAGCCGTGCCGCGTCCACTCACTCAATAAGACTCAAATCGTTCGTCTGTTTGTTACAGGAAGCTGGAAGCATCGGCGGGGGACTTCAAAGCGGCGTCTAGATCAAACGGCCTCTCGCCATTGGCGAGTGCCTATTAAGCGCTAATTCAATCATAAAAACAAACATGCGCGACTATTTCGGTGCGGACCGCGGCTGAGGTGCACACATGAGCGCTGAAAGGGAGCCGGATCGCGAACAAGAGGGCAACACAGAGACCGCCGAGGGAGAGAGGCGAGAAGGAGAGAAAGAGATGCAAACGGTTGTGTCCAACTACGTCGCACCGAACCTCATCGGACAGGCGGACAGGTTGATCGAGGCGAACTACAGCAATGAATACTCCATCGACTACTACGGCGAGAGGGTCGACAGTCTCGATGGCCAGGACGAGAAGATAGAAGTCGACGACGACAGAGACGAAGAACTGGTGATAGCAGACGATTGTGACGCCACTAAGTCGGACGTCGACTGCGCGGAGAATAGAGGGGACGAGCGGATACAGAGCGAGGAGCAAGAAGATAGATGCAGGACGGAGGGCAGTTACGAGCCGTCATGGCACCCGCACGTATACGGGAAGCCGCCGAAGAAGCCCACCCCTCACACAATAGAGTACATTCTGGGGTTGTCCGATAAGACGGGTCAAGAAGAGCCGAGACGGTCGACAGTTAGCCAGCTAATGAACGTGAAAAGGAACTTTGAGACCAAGAAGCAGGTGAGCCAAGAGAAGGGTACTCAGGTGCAGGACTCGAACGAACGCCGCGCCTCGAGTGTTCACAAGAACAGATTGCAGGAACAGTTGCTGCAGCGTGGAGTGAGGACTGACAGTGATTGTGCAGTGCAGTACGGTTTCAAGGTTGACGAACCTCTAAACCTCTCGGTGCCAAAGGTTAAGGAGTCGCCTGGGTGGGGTTCCGTGGACGAAGATAAATTGCTTAAGGGTGAGAGTTTGTCTTATTAATGCTTTGAATTTATCTAAGTTACTGCTGCTTGGTACTATAACATTGTGTACACCTAATACCTTTTAGGTGATCCGTTTTTCGTGTAATTTCAACATGATAATATTTGATACCTGTTGAAACAGCTTTGCTTACGCGATAAGACATCTACTAAAGTAATGATTACGACAAAACGATTTCGCTTTTATTTATTTGTATATAATTACCTACATTTTTTTTACTTGTACTCACATACTTGTACAGACTTTGAAGCTGGCTTGCGAACGTAGATTTAAGAAAGACTTGTTTTCTTGTAAGGTATATAGCCGTTAAGATATTTAACCATTATTATTAATAAAACTTAGCCAAGTAAAAATAATTATAAAAGCTTGGGGCGATATTTTTGTTTAAAGTAAAGCTTTTAATATGCAACTTTTTGACACTCCCAGCTCGCAGTCGACGTCATCTTGGTAGCGTTATGATCTTCTGTCATCGTCAGTATCGCCACTATCGTAATCTACTTCTTTTGAAATAAATGGAAAAAGTCACCAGTTACGTCATTACACGTTTGTAGTACGTTACTGGCTGCGACGGCTATTGATCATATTATATTAGATACGCAGATATATACAGATAGTAATAAATATACTAAAGAGAAGTAAGGAAAAAATTAACATGTTGTATGTCAGAAAAATATTTTAAATGTGTTAAAATCATTTAAATTATTAAAAAAACTTTCTTTCTGTAATGTTACGTTCTTTCATTGTGTAATGTTACGTTTGGACCGAGTACTAACTTCTAATGAAAATATAAAGTACATAACTGAAGCATTATATCATGTTCGGTGCCACAAATGGTATCCAAACAAAGTCTCTTATTACGCAGAACTTCGCTCCATCGGCTAACTTTTACAGATGGGCAATTTTAATTCCACCTAAAACAATTATAAAAGATAGCCAAAATATGGATTAATTGTACGGTATAACTTATTCTACTGGATTGGGGGTAAAACTACTTCATTTTTTTTAAATCAGTTCAATGTGTTGCATTGAAACAAGAGAACACAATTACAGAGAAACCTTTGTTTTTTTATTATAAGCGTCAGTGGAGTGTTTGAATATATTTTAAACGTATTAGTTAAAACAAATCAACACCTTAAATAACTCGCCTTTTAAAATACCTATAAAGTATCGAGTTTGGAATTTGGATAAGCGTATTTTCCCGATATATGCCAAAGAACGGATGAAAGGGACACAGCCGTTACGAACGCAAACAGCGGTTGGCGGCAATCGCTCCTTCCAAATTCAAAACATCGATATAACCATCAAAAATCCCACACGCGCGCAAAAATAAACAATCCATTCCACGAACTTCGCGACGGGGAGGCTTCCGAAGCGCGTCCGCCTCTAAACGTATTAATTCGATCGTTGAATCATTGTGTACTCAATCTTAACGGCACATATTTGAAGTCGAAATTCCACTGTGACATAATATGGACTTGGTACATTTTTCTTCCGAGAACGCGCGCAGGCTATAAACCGGCAAAGTTGTAAATCAGAGTCAATTAGACGAAAGAGTGCGCGGACGCGGCGTGTTTATTTTTAACTGGGTGATAATATTAATATGAAGTGATGAGTCCTTGCGCTACGGAATTGTTTACGCGGCGTAATTGGGGCTTCCTGGGCGTTCTACATTCAAAGTTCTCTGTTCATGTGAATTACATTATTAACTATATTTACCCCATCTAATATAGAATTTAATTTAGAATGACAGATAATACAGTTTTGCGATTGAACGTATCGCTGAAAGTATTATTAAATGATTTGCATCAAAATTTTTTAAAATAGAAAAAATTTATTAAAAGCTTACTTTAAAATACACGCATTTTGCAAAGTTGTTTATATGTGTGGGGGTCACACATATAAACAACTTTGCAAAATGCGGCAAACGAAAATTAAAAATATAATAATTTTCCAATCAATGACAATAAAACCACGTTCCCGACGTCTTAGTCCCATAACTATGTTTCACATTACGAACACGTTAGCAACAATGTTCTAGAGTTAATAACACAATGAGTTTATGTACTGCTATTTTGCAATGGCAGTTATTAATTGGTTCCTGATTTTCGACGATATACTTTATTGAACACAACTCATAGTGCGTTAAGAAAATAATTTATTCTTCGTGGCTAATTTGGAAAATGAGATACTTCCAGTCTTGTTTGGGGGGAACAACTAAAAGCAACGTATTTTGATCCAATGAAGCTTAATTAGATATTCTGCAAGTACCTGCCTTGGCTATAAATGGCCCGTCACAAACAGCGTCGCTCTACCAAGGAACTAATTATATGGACTCGATTTTATACTGGGACGTGCCAAATTGCGGATTTATTACTTAGAGATGAAACCCTGTATAACTATTTAAAGGCGCACTCGGAGATTTACAATTAGCGGCTTATTTAACGGTCAATAAGTTTTTTTTAGTGCATTATTTTAAATTATGCTTTAATGTAAATCCGTGATAGCTCGTTTTTAAAACATTATACACGAGTAACTCGAGGTAAAATCTCCGTACCGACACCAGTGAAATACTTAATTGAAATTTTAACTGGCATCTTATCAGTAGTGAGGCTCGCGGTGAACTGACAACTGACACCCTGCACAGAGGAGGATTTTGCCCAGTGTAAAGTATGGATTATTCAAATTTCCCCACATTATTAATATTACATTCATCATAATATAGACAAAAAATTTTTTCACAAAATGTTATAAACAAAGTACCTACATAATTATATTTTCATGATTTATATTTCCATTTGTAATTGAAGTAAGAATAGTTTACTTATGCCCAAAAAGAAAGGAAAGTCATGATAAATATAATAAAAATGTCATAAACAATAAGAATACGCCTCTATTTATAATGCTAAACTTGGTCGTCGTCTTTTTAGTTTAAAATAATAATAATAAATAATAAATATTTTAGGGCACATTTTTACGTTTTATAGTCCCAAACTAAGCAACGCTTGTACTATGGGTATCTAGATAACACATACGTAAACATACTTTTCTTTAAATACATATTATATTTTAATTATTATTGGCTGCATCGCCAATTACCATCAGATGGGATGGCAGTCAATTGCTGGCCAGTTCTAAATAAAGGAAAATGTAGGAAAATCTGTATCTCTAAGATATATCTGGATTACCAAAGTATCACAAAGATATATGTAAATGTAAATCTAATGTCAATCTAATCTAATCAATATGTTCATCTCGCGGCGTGGGGTCCTAATATATTTTTTTATGTGAAAAGTTGCCAAGCGAGCAGACGGTTCACCTGATATTAAGTGAATACCGCCGCCCATGGACATCTGCTACACCCGAGGGTTTCAGATGCGTTGACAACCTTTTGAAAATTGGGGCCCGGCCACCTAACTCACCACACGGAACGCGAAAGTATTATACTTCCAGTTTACGCCGGTCTTCTGTGAGGTCGTGGTACCACCCAGACGAGCCTGTCCATTCGTGCAACAGCCGAGGCTGTTGCGTGGCCCTACCACCGTGAATAATCTTTACACGAGTAGTCTATTACTAACACTTACATTTAACGGAACCCTATCACTAAGAAGTCCGCTGTCTATCTGTCTATCCGTCTTTCAGCAGGCGGTATCTCATGAACCGTGATAGTTAAAAGTTGAAATTTTCATTTTGATGTATTACTGTTGCCGCTATAATAACAAATACTAAAGAACAGAATAAAAAATATTTTAGTGGGGCTCCCATACAAGAGCCATGATTTTTTTACCCTTTTTATAGATAAAAATGGTACGGACCCTTTCGGGCGCAAGTCCGACTCGCACTTGGCTGGTTTTTTAAATTCCACAATCGAAAAGCTTTCGGAAATAAATAATAACATACTTTGTATTCTTTTCAGCGGGTATAAATATCGTGTGGCATTAGAGAAATATAACGGCAAACGATATCGTAGGATAAATTAATCAAGATTAATTAATTCACACCCGCCTGGAGAATCGCTTAAGTATTTCTCTTAGTATTTCGATCCTGTCGCCGTGAGACGTAATTTGGAGTGTTGCTTAAATTAGAACAAAGTAGGCTCCCCAGACGGGAGCCAGACTTGATGCGGCCCGTTTGCCCCATTCCAAATTACTCACGTTCAATATATAGCACTTTATTTAAAATTCATTCCGCGTTATCGTGTTTCAGATATATTACAGTACCATTGGCAAATTACATATCCATACGCATCTACTCTATTTAATTTCAATTAATGACCTATTGCTTGCATGGTAAAGTTACGAACGTGTGTATTAATTTTTATGTAAAATTTGACGTTTCCTAAGAACGCGCAAGGGTCTATATGAATAAAAATACTTATTAGGAAATTTGAAATTGAATTTTAATTTGTACATGTGTACCGACTTTACAAAATAGCAGTGTGGCCGAACTGTTTATTAGAAAGTGTGAACCCAAAGCATGAACGTATGTTCAAATTAACGTAAACTATGATATGCTTCATAGACCTATAATTCCGCAGCCAGGTGCGCGGGGCGTTGCGCTAAGGGGACTAGTGTAACGAGAAAGCTATTAGTCAATAGACGTAATTACATTTCCTAGTAAAAGCGGACGGCTGAGACGAGAGCCATCTCCATTCCGGCTCTCCAATTGCTTTCGCATATTATTGCGTCTTATAGAGATCGTTAGCGGCCGTGCATTTATCTCCCGCTAACGAAGCGACGGGCGATTGTGCACCTTAATGGCCTGCGATAGTGTCGCAATCCGTAATGGGGGTGTTGTCATCGATGTAATAAGGTGGTGTGATGCATAGGGTGACTACGCTTTTAGTTTTAAGATCCTTAAGAAAAATCAAAAGTTTTGACTTCGTATTCGTGTATCTTTAGAAAGTAAATAGATTTATGTATAAATATCTACTTCATATCGGACTTTAATGATAACTAACCAAATTTATCACGCATTGGTAAA